TTTTTGCTCCAGTCTTATCTGCTTTTCCTGCTGCCGCTGTTACTCGAGCGCCGGCTTGAGGTGAACAAGCCGGCCAAGTGTCCAAGGGGAGCTGATCGAGCCGATATCCAAGGAAGTCCCGGTCGCGTGGGGGATACGCGCGCAACCTTTCACTTTTTGTCATGACCACTACGCTCATCTCACTCTCTCTCTCTCTCTCTCATTCTCTATCTCTGTCTCTCTCTGTCTCTGTCTCTCTCTCTCTCTCTCTCTCTCTCTCTCGCTCTGTGTCGCTTATCTGTCCTCTTTTCTCCAATAGACACAATGAAGCCAAGAAAATAAATACTCTCCCTTCATCACTCCATCACTCCATCCCTCTCCTTCACGACGTTTTGCCAACTTATGGAAGATCATCGACGCGCGTACTCGAGGCTTAATTAACTCATAAGTCAAAGCGAGATTCATGGAGGCATAACGAGAGTCGACGGGCAATTTATTCCTTCGTAAAGTACGACGCCGATTCGATGCTGGATATGTCTCCTGATGCAGTTCATTACTTTAATCCTAATAAATGTCTTCATTATCATTCTAGCAACCGAATCACCTCTTTCCCCTCTTCTTTGCAATCCAAACTTATTCGCAACATTAACAAGCAACATTCGGTTTAAGATAGTTTCAGCTAATTTGACAAAAATTGCATTTATTCGCTGCATTGATGATATTCGACTAAATGTTCAAATGATTAGTCAAACAGTACATTTATTATTTCATTTCAGAATATAATCATAATTGGGCGAAAATGTCCATGTTAGGGCGCTCGATGATATTTGCGAAACGAAAATATTTATATGAATTACGACGCCTCGTTGCTTGTATCATTGTTATTTTTATTATCTTTGAAGTTTGGAAAACTTCTCCAATTGAAATTCGCATTTTCCCAATTAATGGAGATGGTTTATTAACTTTCAAGCTTTTTCACTTTTCAATTACCGCTATCGATTATGTGCTATGGTTGTATTTTTCTTTCGTAAAAGGAATTGAAGGAATTGAAAAACACCTGTATATTGTTTTTTCAAATATTTACTCGCTATAATGTACTTTTATTGCAAATATACTTCCATATAATATAATAATAATAGATGTGGTATTAAGAAATTTACTTAGTACATAAGACGATTACGAATAATCCAATATTTTTTAGTTTTATTTTAAAAATTTTTTTTCTTCTTCTTTTTTTCTTTTTCTTTTTCTTTTTTTTTGTTTTTTGTTTTTTATTTTATCGTATCTCATGTCTAATGATATTTTAAGGTAAAATAAATTTTAAGGTAAATTTATAAGGTAAAACATGAATTGCGCTACTAAAAATAATTTTTACATCATCATAAATTATAAAGTAATTTATCGAAAGAAAGTTAAAATACTTCAGGATATAAAGCCGAAGCGACACGCAAAGCACGAAAACATCCTCCGATAACCTAATATCGCTGACCTAATTATGTATTATTGATATTACTGTGATTTAATATACATTTAATTTTTCATTATCTTGGCTCTTTTTTTGCCATAATACTAATTGAAGTTTTATAATGCGTTTGAATGTAAACCAGAGTGCAGTTTAAAATATTGATAAAATAACATTTTCTAAATTGCTTCTAATTTATTTTTTATTTTATTAATTTTCTTAAATTGAAAGCAAGTCTGTTCGATGAGTTATATAAAAAATTCCTTGATTATACCGAGCTTATTTTTTTTTTTCAAGATTTAATTTAAAACAATTATTTTACTTGTTAACTATATATCATTATTACAAACAAACCATTAAAGTTACTAATATTAACAATAATGGGATAAAATTAGCTATATTCATTTATATCATGAATTATTAAATTAAATGTTTCATACGATATGCATTTAACATTTGTATGTTTTTAATTAGAACGTATTAAATAAATATTGCGATTACTTTTAATTACGTTGTAACCTAAGTAAGATTTCTAATTATCTAAGTAATAATTCTAATAATCTATTAATAAAGAATTAAAGTGATGATTCTTTTTTTTTTTTTTTTTTTTATTAAAGTTATAACAATAAAATTGACAATATTACATGATTATGGCAAATTCATGTCGATTAAGTTTCATAATAAATGTTACTTTACAGAATTTATTCCTAGTTTGTGAGAAATTTACTGATATATGTTTTATCTTTAAATCCAACACACACGCGCACATACACGCAGAGAGAGAGAGAGAGAGAGAGAGAGAGAGAGAGAGAGAGACAGACAGACAGACAAAAAATATGTAAAATATAATATGTGATACAAATTTTCAAAACATTTTAATGCTGAGATAAAACTTTAAAGATTAATTTCTACATAGATGTAATATATTATTACAAATATATTATTGCGAGGATATAATTGTAAGACTCTGTAGAGTATTAGATAACAAAGGTATCCATCTTATTATTAAATAAATTTTTTTTTTGTGTTTTTTTTTTTTTTTATAAAGAATTAAAACATTTTGTTTACCCCTTAAATGAAAAGAATTATTTTTATAATATGAAAATTGATGATAATTATTATGGTCTTTATTATAAAGGTTTAACTATTTCAACTTATTTCGACGTTAAATCGACGTTAAATTCGAGTGTTGTAAGCATTAAACTTATAATATTTGAATATAATCGATGCTTTGATGAAGTTAAAACTTTACGCACATATCATAGATTTATTCGTAAAAATCGTTCGTATTCCCTCGTAAACATCGAAATTACAATTATATAATAAGCAGTTGTCGATAATAATAAATAAAGCGAGTATGACTCATTCCCTATGACACTTTCCACTTAGAGATGGGAAAATAATTTACACCCGGGATGAAGTGATCGACCGCTTAGGTAATCTAAGAAAATAGCGCTTGAGCATAAACTTGCTCGCTCCCATCTTCGATCGTCCTCGATTAAACAAATAATCAATTTACGGGAACAGGCCAAATAAGGTCATCGTGTAATGTGAAGTAAATGCCAGCTATTTGAATAACCTAGTAGTCGACGAGACTCCTTCGCTGCAATTCCCCAACAATGTCGACGAACAACGAATTTCAAACGCCCCCGGCATCGCACGCGTCCACCGATCGATCGCTTCCGATCTAGAAATCACGCGTGGGATCGACAACCCGGCGGAGCGGCTTACGTAAGGAGCGCGAAGTTGTCTCTCAGCGGGCGAAATTGAGCAACTTTAACAGTCGAGTCGATGCCGCTCGACCGACGCCTGTTACTTTGCGCCGTCAATCAAGTTCCGACATTTTTTATCGAGACGATGGACCTGCCGAGCCGACGATCTCGGATAGGATATTGGAATCATTTAACAATTGGCAAAATCCAATGATGTTGGTCTGTATTACGTGGCACTAAATTTGTTCTATTGAAAATTTGTCACAAACTTGTATCACATTCTTTTGTATTTGTTCTTTATAACTTTTATATAAATGCGATCAAATAACTAATAATGTGATAGTTTATGCTAAATTCTCGATACGTCAACATCTTTTTCCAACGTTTTACGCTCTTTCGTCACACCCGCTTCATTATTGCATTAATCGTTCTCTCTATTCTTTATTCTCCTTTAAGATAAAATGAAAATTACGACTAATTTTTTTATTTTTTTATTTATTTTGTTTGTTTATTTATTTTTTAATTTAATTTACATAATCTGCTTATGTCGCTGAACGTGAAAATTTAATTATTCTCGTAATATTTCGTCAACATTCCTTCATTCTTACGTATCTAACTTTCTTTCACAAATTTTTAATTCACTCCTTTATCCCCAAAGTTCTATAAAATAATTAATTATTCCATTAAATTATTAAGCAGTTATTTTTTTATGTAATTGTTTTGTGCATTAGAGTCGTGTATTTAAAAGATGCAGAGTGTACGTACGATGATATTTTATCCTTTATTACTCTTCTGACCGATTGCTCATTACTATTTCAAAGTATATCCAAGTTATTTCTAAATTATCCAAGAATTTTTAAATTATCTTTCTCTCATCACCGTATGCATTTATAATATCCGTAAATTTTCTTGTAATAAAGATGAAGTTTTGGCTACCGTTACCTTCCCATAAGTACGATAAATTTATGCGAAACTCTTGTCACTTCGCGCGCACATAATTTATCGATTAATTGCTCCGTTCGCCGGTATCATCGCATCGCTTATAACTCCTTATAATTACTTATGCAATTTATTAAGGAGATCGCTGGCAAATAGTTTCGTAAAGTCGAGTTTTGGCTCCATCAAGCTGTAAATCACTGTTGCGTTCTCTACGTTCAAGGACATCGAGTTTTATAACCTACAGTTCGATCAATTAGTAGAATAAAAAAGTAGCTATTTATTCCAACCGTTTCCTCATCGCAAACACTCAACGGCAAACTTCGTTCGTTGCACGGCAATGAAAAATATTGGTAAAACAATGGAATCCTAAATGAATATACGAGCATTCACGTTTCGCCTCGACTCTCGAATAACGTCGCAGTCGCAAATCCAAGTCGCGATTGGCGATCCATTACTTTTTCACCTCTCCTACAAAAACCGTCAAAATGTCATTGTAGGGTACTTTAACTAACTACTACCCACCCACCCCCCACCC